AATACTTACTGTTTTTGGTGAGTTTGTATGCCACATTCGATCACACTTGTTTATGCTCTTTTCCCAGTACTCCCTAGCATTTGACACTTTCACTGCACAGACAAACATCAGTACCACTCCTGGTGTTGACAATAAAACAAGAGTAGTAAGTATACCAAGTTTATCCTGTTCAAGACATTCTAAATAGGTGAAATGTGTTGCTTTATAATGACCTCTAACTTGCGGTTTGACCCATCGATAACCCATATGAATCACAATCAGATAGAATTTTTCATGAGGATACATCAATGTGACCAATCGTTCTGTGAAATTGGAAAAATTTCCTTTTTGATGATGTGACTTGAAACTGGATACCCATTGAAAAATCGCGATCCATTTTCACATGCATTCATCCTATACCCCGACTTCCCTGTCCACAATCTCCTTGTTCCACTTTGGGCCGAGTGCGTTTTTATTCATGTGCCCCGATCTGTTTTCTCCCCTCTGATCACAGAGCCCACCAGTGACCGACACATGGCCCAGAATCTCACCGTGAAGACAATTGAAATTGGCGGGAACATTACATTCACCTGTGTGATGAGTTCCAATCCACCGGCACAGATCAAATGGTTGAAAGATGAAAAAGACATATTCAGTATGATGCCACAGGGTGAGTAAGAAATTGTTAGTAGTTCAGATTGACCAGCACGTTTTCGGGACCAATTCTTGAGATTCGGAATTGAAATGAACTAGGCTTACAATTAGCTCTACCTTTGCCAGGATGAGTTGTGTCAATATCGCGTGTAAGGTAAAGTGAAATGCGTAGTGATTTTAGTAATGATAGTAGAAGCACGCAATGCACACGAAACACTAATCATGGCATACGAGCAACTGATTAGCAGTCACAGACGCCACGTAAGCACTGGACCACACTGGCACTGGCATGCAATATCCCAAATAACCGAGACACGAGGAAAAGACCACAGGAGTAGTCGTTCGCTTATTGAATGAAGTAAAGGGGATAAAATGATATGTGCAAAACAAATTCATTGGTCATCTGGGCGTCTGCCAATCGCGTTCTAGTATTTCTGCCGTTATTCAGCTTCTGCATGGATCGCACGGTTTCTGAATCTCCTATCGACCTATCGACCTATCGTATGTAGTCCAGAAGCTGTGGCACGCACGTGCTTTGCTGACGTCACCCGTAGAGCTTGATTGAACACGGTTGTCCGAAAACTGTAACCCGTCGTTCCAGGGTATGCGTCATCTCGCAGGCTGGGATCACCACAGTTTTCAAGATGGTAATGGATTGATTCGAAGTTTACCTGAGGATTTGAGATTGTGAGCCTATGCAAGACGTGGTTGACTAATAGATAAAACCACTCGAGTGTATGCAAACATTTCATTTTCTCCTCTCCCCCGTGTCTATTACTGTCATGTCTAGACTTGTAGGACCGAAAAACCTGATGCTACTTTCGGCCAGTCCGTATCAAGGTGGAGAGTATACCTGTGTAGCAGAGAACGAAGCTGGATCAGCTAAGGCGACCACAATACTTACTGTTTTTGGTGAGTTTGTATGCCACATTCGATCACACTTGTTTATGCTCTTTTCCCAGTACTCCCTAGCATTTGACACTTTCACTGCACAGACAAACATCAGTACCACTCCTGGTGTTGACAATAAAACAAGAGTAGTAAGTATACCAAGNAGGGTATGCATCATCTCGCAGGCCAGGATCACCACAAAATGGTTTGAAGGATAGCGCTTCAGTGATCAAGTGGTCAACTGGTCAAATAGTCATTCCAGGCTCGATCGTTCGCTGAGTCGATAGACTTCCATCACTTATCCCACACAAATAAAAGAAAACGTGTATATTGATCCCCGGTGGTCCCATTTATTCCGATTTACATATGACCACTTAACAGTTAGCCTCAAAGTAAATCACTCACTTCTCACATCGTCATAATGGCATTTTAATGCTAGGCCAGCTAACATGCGGAAGTGATAGAGTAGCTGATGTATTCGCCTAGCAAATATACCCCTGGTGAATTAGTATACTTTAAGCAGTCTGATGAGGGAAAATATGGATCAATTTAGGAGCAAAATTTATCGATGGTGGAAGAAATCTTGAGTGATGTTTCAGCGTGTAAGTCCACCACCAACTGGTCAATAAGAATTGTCAAGCTGCTGAGCATAATATGATTCCAACCAAAATTTTAAAGTCTCTTATTGTTGTTGTTACTGACAGTTCCAAACAGTTTGGTTGGTAGTGTCCGTACTGCCTGATATTCTACCGTACTTCGGCTACATGATCTAACCCAGCCAAATCACAGTAATGACCAATAGATATCGGTACAGTTAGTCTCTTTATCTCGTTTACCAATGAGTAGCCAGCTGTAAACAAGCAGTTGACGATCAATGGTTCATGACTGGTACTAATAAGAAACATTATTAATAAGTTTAATTAAATATAATGGAATAATTAAAGCGTTACGCTAGAATTCAACAGCAGAGGATAGCAGCAACGTAAAGAACGCAGAACGGCACTGAGTGACGCAGTGTACTTTTTTTGGTCTATGAAGGACTCAGTAGACGACTGTGATAGCCTCAATTCAATGGGTGATACCAGATGGCCTATGAACCGATCAGATTCACACAATGTTGTACTATGCATTATTCATTAGCGCATGGGTAACACAAGTTGACTAAGACGCTGCTGTGCTTATATGGATCTCTGATGCATTTATACTACTCGCAAGTAGTTAATGGATGAAAATAAAAATCCCATCAATTCAATGGTAAACGGGATATAAAACGGCAAACGGTACACTTATTTGTATTCATTCGAGCTGTGGCCTAGTCCTATGCTTGTGTTTGCCTGTTCTAGGCCAGTATAATTCTGATGGTATCGGCTGCCAACCACGTGTGTCGTTCTCATCGCTTTTATTTTCAAATCGTATATTCCACCTGTATACAAAGAGTATGCATCTAACCCTGGACTTTCAACCCAAGTATTGATTGCTTTCTATCAGTCTACTTCCTTTCAGCGAACAAACGATTTTCCTGTAGATCGGATCGATAAACCAAATGGCTACATTGACAAACGGAGTTAGGCTGTAGTAGTGGGACTCGAAAACAACCCAGGTTGACTAATGATATCACATGAGACCGATGCCACACAGCCAAATTTGGTTCGTCAATTTAACTAAATTAGGCATTTGCCGAAAGTAACTGGGTTGAATTACTCGTCTTAGCCTCTGATCAACCAAATGACAACACAGAGAATACTCTCATTGTATCAATCACAATGGTGCCAGCGAACATGTGTCTTCGGTGCATTCCTGCCCTACAATCACATGGAAATGGGTCGGATAATGAGCCTCGTAAAGAGTCGGAGCTACGGTAGATTAGTGCAAAACTCTGATTATGTAGTCAAAACCAATTGTGGGGCATCATCGTCGAATACAAGAGGGTTTTTGTCACCTTCGGGGAAGTCTGAGTGCTGAAATCCACCCACGTTCGTTCGGCGTGCAGCTCGGGTATCACAAGACGGATGTTAATCAACTCAGCGGTTGCCGATGTCCAAAATCACAGTGATCTTTTGGCAGTGTGGTAGGACTTGATATATGAATGTAAAAACTGAATTCATGTCACAACCTCATTCTCACCATGTGTCAACTAGCCTGGATCATTTTTTGGATGTGTTATGTTAACTACCTTATGGTTCGATCTGTGTCAGAGTAATCATAAGTATCCTTAAATTAGTAAACAATCATAGAGGATATAAACATAAACGGTTTGCCTAGGTTATGTTGAATAAATTCGACTCTACCTAGTCGCTTGAGCTGAGTTAGCGATTGGCCCTCCGTCCTACGCTTTCTGTCGACCAGCCAGTGTCCGTCGGGTACTTACAATTTCTCAACAGATGTTTCTTTTGAAGGGATCTTGACTGAATGGGGGGAGTGTAAAAATAAGTACCTTCCTTGCAAGTGAAACCACCGGGCTTATTGTAGTGATTGTAGTAGTAGTATTAAGGACTGAACTCGGAATACGAACCACGCAATACGAATCATGGAATACGAATCAAAGATGAGCAATCACGGACTGTATTACTTAGGCATTGGATCACACTGGCACTAGCACGTAATATTCCACGTAACTGACACGCGAGGAAAAAGGCCTCAGGAGTAATAGTTCCTTTATTGGAAGAAATAAAGGGGATTAAATAATATGTACAAAGTAAGTTCATTGGTTATCCGGCTTCTACCAATCACGTTCTTGGCATCGTTCTGCCTCTGTCTTGGCCGCACGGTCTGTGAGTGAATGCTACGATCTACCTATGGTATGCAGTCAGAAGCAGTGACACGTACGCGCGTTGTTGACGTCACCCATCAAGTTTGATCGATCGCAGTTGTCCAAAAGCTGCAACGCGTCGCTCCAGGGTACGCGTCATCTCCTTGGCCCGGATCACGATAGTAATACATGTGCAAACTATTATGAAACGCTTTCTTTCATGTTTTTCATTAAATCTTTCTTTTTTGCATTTCTAGTCCATCCACCACATATTACTTTCTTGTTCGTCTCATTGCACAGATCGATTCAGTATCAGTCCGGACGGATCGATGCTCACATTATTGGATGTGAGAGCCGAGGACCAGGGAGAATTCAAATGTGTGGCTATCAATATTCCCGGCTCATGGAATTATCGTTACACCTTGGAAGTGACATGTAAGTGATACAAGTACTTTACATTTAGGAACCCCAGAGCCACCTGTGCTTTGATCAGGAACCCAATTTTAGGACCTTGGTCAGCTCAGTGATCCCAAAAACAACCTGGATAAACTCATCAGTACGTTTGAACCATACGATAACCGTGTTTTTTTAACAAAGGCTGACCAACACATCCCTATTGTGACTTTTGGTAGTTAGGTAATCCATTGTTTAAAGCTTAGCCTGCCGGTTTTCATAACGCGACGGTTCGCATAAGACTTACTGTTCAGTACATAAGGATATGCAATATAAAGCTGACTGAATATTTTATTGAGTAAGACTGCAGCAGAAATCATAAAGCGCAGAAGCGGTGAATCCCTTCCTGTTCCTTTACGTTAGTTTTGCTTTTAGTTATTGAGTATATATCACTTTCTGCCAAAGAAGTAGATTGTGTAATCAACAACAAACGTTTTCGTTCCAGTCAACGTAGAAGATTGATATGCAGGACCTCATCCTTGGACCTCTATAGATCAGTTTAACACACAGGAATAAAGGGAGCTGCTTCAACTTTTCAATCTGTTTGAGGACAGTGCCCCCTCGATTGTATCATATACACTTTGGATGCGATATCAAGTTGCTCAATGCGCCACCTTATCGCCCAATAGGACTGTTGACAGTAGTTTTAGTCGTTTCAAATCGCATTTTCTCGGCTCCCTTGAACGCACTATAGTTAGCCCTGAAGCTTCAATCTATTTCAAGCGCGAGAAAATGGATTCTGGCCCAGTCCCTTTGATAAATACAGCGTTGGAATTAGAAAATGATAAGCAGCACTTCCGTCGCAGACAGAGGCTTAAAACGTGGGTCCCTAGAGCAGTTCGGCAGGGGCCAGGGACGGAGAAATCTGTTTGCCAAAACACCCACCCACCCAGAAGATCTGAATCTAAATGTGGAAGCAACCACGTGAAATGCCGTTTATCCACTGTCGGTGTTCACTGTGCCGGAAACACACTGCAGTCCATTCGCACTTTTAGCCGACGAAACTTTGCCAAATGATAATGGGTGATCATAACTCACAAGCCCGTACACCCACACTCTCTCCTGAATCGTTTGTGTTTGTCGTGGGGTGAGCAGGTGAGCAGGTCGGTATTAGTGAAAACCAACTCGCAGTTGTCATTCTTTGCAAGATGGACTTATTGGATGATATGAAAATACATTTGGTCTGGACGAACACGCCAGGTCTGAGTTATCATCATCATTGTACAGCGTAAAATCAGTGAAGCAAACCTCACTGATCGCTGCCAACCTCATATTGCATACTATACCATTTCAAGATAGCTTTGAGAAACTATAATTTTCATTTGCGAAACCGTCAGTTGGAATTGAGAAACTATCACTTAGATTTGAGAAAGAAATGCTGTGGTTGGATCCGCTTCCGTTCAGCGCACCTCATTGGTCAATTGATCATACATTTTTTTCTACCCCCGGATCGACCACGTGTCTTCCCACGCTCTTTCTGTGCTGAAATGAGGCAGACCTCAGTCGTGCATCTTGTCGAGCTCTGTG